GTAGAGCCAGATGTTTCCCATTGTAGCTGGTAGAGACCAAAAACAGAGCTAAAAGGTGAATGCATATGGAACAAGCCACAATCATGTTTAACATATCAACTTAAAAGGTGATGAGAATTTACAGCTTGTATACGCAATTCGACAAAAACAAACAGTTAATATTGGTTTATGGAGCTAAAACTTATCAAATCAGTGGTATAGTATTTTAAGTACACTGAAGGGTGATATCCTTAGTTTGTGTTCCTCCTACCACACTGGGACAGTAAGCAAATACAGGAAAGAAGTACCTTGTTTTTAGTTGCTACTTTAAGTGAGACCTTGGTTCATTCTCCAATTAGATATTTCCAGCTGCTCTGCCACATCCCATAATGTAAAGCAAACCTGGCTACAGGAGCAGTTTAACTGGTGGTTGGGTCAGATTGAAGCCTCTCAACATACTAGGGCTAACAAATAAAAGTTTGTTTTGAAAAATAGAAGGTTTAAAAACTCCCTTATTGAGACATCGTCTTAGTTTAACTTCCTGCCCTGATCTATTTTGAATAATAGCTTAATATCCTCAGTTGAGGTGCCCCCCACCAACCTCTGACGTTTGCCGGTGAGAGGCCATTTACTGTTCGATTCCATCTACCCTCTGACAGCTTTTGGACACAGCACTTCAAACAGTGTTGTGGTTTTTCTTTCGTCCTCAGCAGTCTGCGCTGCAATGAGCTGCGAGATTGACCTGAGTTTCCTGTTGTGTTAGCACATGATGGATGGGAAGGTTCAACAATAGTGATTTGATATTTTCTCATTATGTCTCCTGTCGAAGAATCACATTTAAAGAAATACAATAAAATGGGCTTTGAACTGTAGTTTCTTCTTTAGCATGTAGGACTCATTTTACGCCAAATTAGCAGGTATACGCAGGTTGGTACACCTGCTAAAAAAAGAGCTGCACCATTGCAATTTTTAATAATTCTTATGTTCACTATACTCAGTCAGGATGTATAGTTTGTGACGCTGTTGGTTGGCTCATCGTCCACAGAATTGTACTTGAGTTTCCAATGTCGTCCCCTTGTGAGAGGGACGTGAGGGGCTGGCCTCGTATCACTGCAGCTCACAGGGGATAATTATGGAACGCACAAACAAATGAATACAGGCGTACATATACACAGTACACACACAAAGACACACACATGCTGACCGGCTGGAGCTAAGCTGCAACACCTCATTAAATTGGGAAATGAATCCTGAATGAAGCCCGGGCTCCTTTCCAGATAACAATCACCAGGCTTCCAGGGATTCACCATAAAATCTATAATTAACACATTTATTCTCTGGCTGTCACCAGCTGTCTGCTCACTTCACCTGAGACTGTGCATCCTTAAGCTCTGCATGCCCACACTGTCATTTTATATATTTATACTTATTATCATCTCTATTCATTTGTATTTCAAAGTCAAAATCGCCAACAAATTTCACCAAATCAGGCTGAGACACAAACACAAACACACAGCAAAGACGTGGATCTCTGTCATGGCAACGACATTTACGGAATCCTCCATAAAAGCATGTTTGTTTTGTTTTTTAATTTTTTTTAATAAAGCTGAAGTACAGAGCTTTTATTTTGAAAAGTTGTCTCGGGTCTGAAGATCTTGTTGGTTGCGTAACGGACCTCTGAAAAAGTTGACATGCATTGTTGGAAAAAATAACAGTTCATTACATCATTCAAACTCATATAAAAGCCACATGTGAACAATAATAAAACTTATTCAGTTTCATTATGTGAAAACATTGTTTAAAGAAGCATGTTCTGAACATTGGATTGGAGATGAAAAATTATTTAAATACCTCATTATCATGTATCCTGCATGAATGACACCTTCTCATTGATTTCTAAAGTAGCAAGATAAAAATAAATATCGAAGGTCAGAGTCTGATGCAGATTTTCTTGCTCAGACTGAGTTCAGCACCCCCGCCTGCAGCCTGCAAATGAGCCTGATGAAATTGACCCCCCCTCCCCTCACCGGATCAGTTTATGTCAGACCCCAGGAAGGAGCTGCCGGATGGCGTACACAGCAGCGTGATTGGGTGCCCTGGGCCAATAATACAGGCCCTTCCCCTGAGAGGTGTAGTTGAAGCTGGGGGCAGCAGACATTAGCCTTGGTCTCTTCCCTCGCTACCAGACGCCTGCTCCAGGGGCCAGTTCTGAATCATGACTTGGGGGTAGGGGGGGGGGGGGGGGCAGCACTGACAAATATATCAGCTCCCGGAGGACCACACCGGGGGTCTCGACTGCCTTGCTATCTCGCCTGTGGCCCCAGACACAAGCTTCCACCACAGCCTCATCTGCAGTTCTGACCTGCCCCAAGCCCAAAGGCAGGAGAGCAGTGCACGCTGCTCCCACCTTTCAAGGGGCTCCATTCCTTTCTCTCATACACTAACCAGCATTAATATCCCCAAAATTTGATAGCGCGGTTTTGCAATAACGGAGCAAATGAGTCTGGCTGAGCTCTAAATTAAGCGGTGACATTTTAATACTGTGCCAGCGGATGCCTTGGGTAAAGACAGGCAGGAGAGCGAGATAAAAAAAAGCAGGTCAGGCTGTTAAAAGACAGAAAAGACGCCTCCTGGGTTCTGTTTCCCTCAGTCTTTGTATCCATTTTATGAGCAAGCTGCGCTCACAGTTATATAAAATAATGAATTATACCGATCGTTTCCCTGTGACAGTGCTAAATTATGCAGATGAATATAAATTAAATTTTGATTCAGTAATTATATTGTTATTATTCTCTGAAGCTGATCAGAGGCTGGCTTGATGAAGCTCACAGTTATTATTTTACCTTCGCCAAGGACAATATGTTTTCACCCCCGTCCACACAAAAACAACTGTCCGCTTTACAATGAAACTTGGTGGGAGGATGGGACGTGACCTAAGAAAGAATCCATTGAATTTTGGTGCGGATTGAATTTGAGTGACTCTTCCTCTAGAATTACAACACACTCTCATGTTTGGTTTGATCATTTTGCTAAAAGGGTTATTCTGAGAGAGGGAATATCTGTGAGCGGGAATATCTGTTCCCTCTTGTTGCTTCAAAACAATGTTTTAATATCATAGTTCTTGTTTCTATCTTGAAAATATTGATATACCCCAAGTTTCTTCAGATCTAAGGACCTTTTATTGAACATATTTGGTGGGAGAGGAATCAGTCCGAGAGCTAAACGTATTGCTGACGCTGTATTGAACAGTTTTTTGCTTTTTGCTGAATTGTATTGTGCCTGCGCCAAACCGTCGGGAGTCTGAGCTTCATTTTGGCCTTTCCTCCACCTTGCTTGGTCTGGACTAAATTTCTGACTGGACTGACATGCAAATGTGTAGAGAGGTCTTCAGCAAAGGCCCTTCTCATCATTCCACAGCCCCGGCTGAGGAGAAAAGATGACTGAGTCTTTTCTGTCAGGGCTCCCACTTTGGAATAATCTCCCTAAGGAGATCCATTTGGCAAACTCCTTTTCCTCATTAAAATCTCTCTTTAAGACAATTTTTTTTTGGTATGCTTTCTCCAAGTTCGAATCTCACCATCTATTTTAATTATTTGATCGTGTTTTATCTTGTTTTTAATCTTTTCCCATCTCTAATATTTTTATTCCTGTATAAGCTCTGATTCTGTGTGATCTTCAAATTGCTCGTTGGCCTTAAATCTTTCATTTTTAACTTATAAAGCATCTTGCAACTGTGTTTTAAAAGGTACTGTAATATAGTTGAGTATATTTCAGTTTAACTGGTGGTTATTCTGTTTGTCTGTTGTGTTCTCTGTGTTTTGTCTTGTCTTTTTGTTTTTGTGATGTACAAAAGTAAAAATTACATGAATGAAATTTGTGTGTGAATCAAGGTAAAGGGGCAGATCCAGGAATATTCTTTAACTTACTTTAACTTTGTGAAATAGGGGATTTTTTAAACAGTTGTACTGATTTCTCAGAGAATTATTCATGGATCTTGATGAATCAAAACATATTTATGGGACTGATATTTATGAGTGCGTGCAATTTGGTGCTAATCCAAATACAAATCAGTGTCATCGGGGAACTGATTTGTATTTGAGGGATTTATGATCTCTGATTTCCTTCTTGTTGATATTTGTGCTTTCTCATTTTGCCTTTTCAACATCGTGAAAAAAAAAAGATTGCACCGGTTTGATGAAGGTGTGACATGGAGGTACCTGGCAACAAGAGAAAACATTACCGCATGTGTGTTTGAGTTTCCTGCTTCCTCCCAGTGCATCCATCCAGCACCATTAGTGTTTTCAGGTGGAGGCCTAATTAGCTTACATTGTGTAACAAAAGAAAATCCCCACTTAATTAACAGTTAATCAATGGCCAATTAGCCTTTCATTGGTTTGTTAAAACCTGATAACAGGTCATCTCACTTGAACCTGAAACCCTGTTGAACTCTCAGCTCCCGTCCCCACTGAGCTGCGTCCTCTCAGATGTCAGAGTTGTAAAAATCAGCACTGTCACATGCACGTGATGTTTCCAGTCTCACTGAAGGATGATGGTTCGGTGTCAGAAATCTGACCTCAGTGCAGATCAGTCCGTTGGTCAATCAGACAGGGAAAGCTGAGAGTGAAATGGAAAGTAAAGTGAGTGTCCCCCCCTCGCCTTGTCATCTGCCGGCTGACGTGATCGATATGGCAGAGAGGCCTAATGGCATCATGGCCGCGGCAGTGATTAGCTGAGCAAAGTGAGCCCATGTGGGCCGCGTCGGTCCCTATCGAAGTGCACTAGATCAAAAAGATAGCTTCCAGCAAACAGCACTGCATGGGAACTAACATCGATCTGTGGACGAGGCCGCTGTCTGTGTCTGTCTCTCTCCCTCTCAGCAGCTGATGAACACAGAGTAGAACAAACTCAGTATTATGATTGATCGCCTCAGTAACTGGATCTGTTATTCAACCCAATCATTTCTGCTTCTCTCCTCCTATCTCTGACGCTCTGTCTCTCCTTCTCTCTTTCTCTCCCTGCAGTTGTGTGTGGTGTGTGTTTGTGTGTGTGTGTTTGTGTGTGTGCGTAGTCGTCCTCACACAGTGTGACTGAGCAAAGAGGAGGGGCGTCGTCGTACTCAGGGGGACAGACCTTTGTGTCACACACAGATGATGGAGAGGAGGATGGACACAGCTCTGCTGGTGCTGTTAATGGGACACCTCGCCGCGGCGCTGGAGGTCCCACTAGACCGTAAGGAAACAACACACACACACACACACACACACACACACACACACACAACCACACACATTCAGTCAAAGCAGTAACACTGTCTTTATACATTTAATTGATTGATCAGCAGAAAATTAAAGGCTCAAACTTGAGGATTGGATGTTTTTCTTTCACACAACAAACTTGGGTTTTAGAGAGGCTGTGGGACATGTACAAGTTCATGTGGTTGACAGTGTGAGGGTTGTTGATCATTTCAACTCTTGGCAATCCCGGAAGCAAATGAGCGTTTTGCCAAAATGATGATACAGTAAGGTATTATTATTATTATTATAATAATTGTTGGCTACAGTCCTGGTTTTTAAATGATGGCTTTAACTTGTCGATAATCAGTTTTCCCTTTGAGTTGCTTTTTGGCAAAGAAAATGATCTTCATTTATACAGTATAGCATTTAACAGTTCAATATGGAACAATTCTTCATTAAAAATGTCTAAAAACAACTAGAAACATGTTATATATTGTGTTGACTTGTGTTCTAACACTATCTAAAATGTTTGCAACTATGTTCAAACCCAGAGAAGTCCTTCAAGGTAATGGGCTGTTCATTTTCATTGTGTCCACGTTGGCTTAGCTAGTCTCTGTTTTAACTTCTGAAGGATAAACACACTGATCACCAGTTATTAAGTTGGCTCTTTTTTCCTTCCACTGTTTGGATTAGTCACTCAGAATGGATCACAATTATTGGAGTTTCCTGCACCACATGAATAAAACGTATACATTACCTCTGTGAATATAAGTCTGCGAGTCTATGAAGATAGTCAGTTGATTATTATTATTATTACCACAAATAAACACACGAGAGAAGCTGGAACTACCGACTGTTTCATATGGTAATTAATATTGACCCAAAATTTGATCAATTAAATCAACTTATTGTTTCAACTCCACATTTATTCGACCATAAATTTAATCTACCTATTAGCATGCACACATTCCTTTTTTCAACAGTTCTTTTTTTTATTTATAAAACTATATATTGTTGCATTGGTCCCATAAAGCAAACAGTCACATTATTCCTCAATCTGGAAAAAAAAGTTTGGCCCTGCAGCCTCTTGTGGCTGTGCTGCCGCTGCTGCTGCTGGAGACCTTCTACATATTGTTGTACACTGGCCTTGTCCGTACCTTGTTCTGAAGCTGAAGATAGTTTTCCTTTCGCTAACATCTGGTTCTCTTTACTGTCACATGTGTCTTTTATTTCTTGTTTGCTGATTCTTGGGAAAAACACTAAAGTTCTGGAAGGATGTAAGTCTCTCACCAGTGTGAAGTTACTGCAGAGCATGTGCAAGCAGTGTTTTTTGTTGTCGTGCACTAAGAGTTATAATTGATCATATTGATTTTTTTATTTTAGTCTGTTTTACATTATAAGATGCTGAGTGTGGTTTGCAGTTCAGTGTTTTGCCTGCATTGATTCTTTTGTTTCTTTGTTTGCTGCTTTGAGCCTGTATGTGTCTGCAGCTGTGCAGCATTTGTCATAGAACAATATTGCAAACAGCATGAGTTCTTCTATCATTTGTTTCCTCATAGTCCATTAGTTACTCCCCCCAGCACTGACAGCAACACATTAAGCATAGGATCATTACAATAAAGTGAAATGTACCCAAGCGTTCTGCATGCCTCTCTGCTGCGCGTCGTGTTAGCGGAGGTTTGTATTTTTTAGTGTGTGTGTGGTTTGAGTCTGTGAGGTGATTCTGCATGTGATTGGTAATAACTGCTCGTGTGGTCAATATGCAGTAAAGGTCGTGATTAAATATCATCCTGTTTCTGATCACCTTTAGTGCCACAGCCACCGACCATAACTCACCAATCCCCCAAGGATTACATCATTGACCCACGGGAGAACATTATAATCCACTGTGAGGCGAAGGGGAAGCCTCATCCCAGGTAGGAATCCGTACACTGAGATTTCCAAAGCAGCTAATTTATTTATTTGACAGGGACAGTTCTCTTTAATCAATTGCTTTGTCTGGATTGCACAGCCCAGTCTGCTCCAGCCATGTTTAAAGATGAGGCAGGGATCAGCAAAACATGCAATAGATTGTATTTGGAAGCACCAGTACTCACATGTGTAGGTCACTCACTGACCATATTTTCATTTCTTAGCCGTACAACTTTACCCAAATTTAATATAAACCTAGAATCAAGTCTTATGTAAACATGTAGGGCCTGGAAAGTGTAAGAGTTTACACACTCACATCTTTGAAAATGGTCTTTTAAAATCCTTGAAAACATTAATGAATGTCTTAAGATTAATAATTTAACATTAAATGTTATTGACTAAACAAACATCCATCAAAGTAAACAGTATTATTTGTGAGGAGGTTACAGGTAAGCTGCTTCATCAGGAGACTGGATGTGGTCTGATCAGATTTGTGTGATTAAATATTTCATCACACAATTTGTTGTCAAGATTTATAACAAACATTTTATTATCTCAGTTTCTCTTGGACGAGAAATGGGACGCATTTCGACATCGACGAGGACGCCAACGTGGTCATGAGGCCCCACTCTGGGACACTGGTGGTGGACATCAGCAGAGAGAAGGCTGATCACTATGAGGGGGTGTACCAGTGCACGGCGAGAAACAAACATGGAACTGCTGTTTCCCACAACATAGTCGTACGACAGTCCAGTAAGTGCAGTGCAGTCTATCACAATATCTCTTATCTTTTCATTTTTCTCTTCTTCCAGTTTTCTCATTACCATAAATATCTCACATCATATAAAATAAATTCCTTTCTTTTCTTTTTCTAACAATTAAGTTGCATTTTCCATCTTAAGAGTGCTCCTGAAAGGTAAAGGAGCATGTGCAAAGCAGCATGTAAGGAAGTAATAGTGGATAGAGGTGAACATCCCTCTGTATTTTCCCTCTAGCACATTGTTCAGTTAGACATCGTCCCTCTCTACCTCTGTCATCATGTCAGCAACAGTCCATTAGCAACACTCCCATAATTCAACCCATATTTCACATCAAATTATGAGACGCAGCTGAGGTGCGCTCCCTTTTCCAACCAATCCAGGATCCCCCTTGTGGTCAAAGGAGAGGATCAAGCCAATCGTGGTTCAGGAGGGCGTGTCCTTGGTGCTGCCGTGTCGACCCCCTGCTGGCCTGCCCCCTCCCATCATATTCTGGATGGACAATAGTAAGTACTTCAGTCATGGAAGATTTTACTTTTAGCTTTATGAAAATAACTGCTGCTGACAAAAATGACTTAATCTCAGATTTGTGTCCTTGTGGCAAAATGATGTGTCTGCTCCCAGAAGTTCATGGTCAGTGCTGAAGGACAGTAACTTTGTATATATTCACCCCTTTACTACAAATCATACACTCTGTTCTTTTATCACAATATCACAATTCTTGAGATTTCAAGAATAATGTAATGTTTCAAGAATAAAGTCATAATATTAGGAATTCATTCTTGCCGGAGTTGCTTTCCTCCTGGATCCTAAACATTGAACCAATCTCATTGTTATTTGAGAAACCTAAGAAACCCCCTATGAGTAGCACACAGATGTAAATAGGCTCAGAGTCAACCACTACCAAATGTTTCCGCAAAAGTTTTCCCTCCAAGTCCGTGTGGTTCTTTCCTTGGAACAGATATTACATCAGCTCTTCTATAACAGCCTCATTGTGAAACCGTAACTTAAGGAGACAAAACATGCAAATACACTGATATTGTGAGGCCTGATTTATGGTGTTTGATGATCAGTGATAAAACAATTTGATTTCTAGGAAAATTGGACATTAAATATTCACTTAACTGGGCCAGTCTATCCTTAATTCTGTCTAGTGGTCCACCTCAAACTCATTCTCAGATAGTTTAGATAATAAAGTGGAGAAAATAGTTCCAGAAGTGTTTTTATTCGTGATAAAGATGAGCTGACCCAGCACATGACATCTCTAACAAACACATTCCACCCTTCAGACTTCCAGAGGCTGCCTCAGAGCAGCAGGGTGTCCCAGTCCTTGAATGGAGACCTCTACTTCTCTAACGTTCTCCGAGAGGATTCCAGGAACGACTACATCTGCTACGCCCGCTTCCCACACACACAGACCATCCAGCAGAAACAGCCCATCACCGTCAAGGTCCTCAACCGTAAGTCTGACTCTGTGTGATGAGGAGAAATCCCCCCCAAGTGCTAATGAGCCAGCATGACGCAGACGGAACAGTGTGTGTCTGTGTGTGTGTGTGCGTGTGTGTGTGAGACAGGTCCGATACAGTTGCATGACAGTGTGGGAGGGAAACAGCATTTCCTATCTGTAGCTCCATCCCTCAGAGACGCCAGTGGTAGTCGTCCCACTGAAAAGACATACTGTCTCTTGTGGCCCCCTGCAGTATCTGCCAAGCAGGCGCTTGTTTTACTTCTGCTGTGAGACGTTCTGTACACACTCTCTGCAGCGACAACAAAGACCGCTCTCTTCCAGACCAGCGTTTGTTGCTTGAAGTGACGGCAGTCTGCTCCCACTGGATTCTGATGACGATCTCTGACTTATAAATCATCTCACGTTGATCATGTTTATCTGTCCAAGCATGTTTGTTGTTTGTTCTTGTTTTCTTTTTGTTCTGATGATTTCAACTTGTGGCGTGTGTGATTTCTCTGTTGTGTTACAGTGGAAGCAATCAATGATACAATGGCAGCTTTTTACAATGACACTGATTTGTTTAGTGGTGAGTTTTGAGATCCCCGTAGTGTTTAGTCCCTCCAACCTAGTGCTCCGAACTCTGGCTCTCACCCACTAACACTAACCCTTCATCCTGACAACCCCACGGCTCTGTACAGTCACACCGATCTAACCAGGGGGTGGGATCTGGCACCCTCTTGTGCTTACCCCTGGCATAGCACTCCAAACTGCAGCTGTTACCCACTAACATCCAAGTTAATTCCGTGCCCCTCCTTCAATCCTGCTCTATCCAATCAAAACCCTTTTAATAACTTTTCCCTTCCTCCTTTAAAGTACCACTGATGATGATTCCACTGAGGTGATGTGTAACAACATCTGTATAGTCTTGCAAATCAGAAAAGACCTTTAAAATACAAACCACGTATAAATTGAAAATAATTTAATTAGATTAATAATTTGAACTAATTAAAATGTTATTGATTAATGATAAGCAATCGAACAATAACAAGAAAAAATAAATAAAGAGAGATTAAAGCCATTAACACAGAAAGTAAATGTACTTAATTTAGCACATAAAAGTTATTGACCAATAACATGAAGACCAGATGAACCAGTTGGATCATTTTAAGTCAGGCTAACTATAGGATGTCAGGTTGTCTGAAAAAGGCCCTCCTTGTTTGTGGTGGTACATTTTCCTCAGATGCAACACATTACCCAGTTCCATCATACACAACGTATTTGAAGTGTAAATATGTTTGATTCAATTTCTCCTTCTTGTTTGCTTTGCCTCTGTCATGAGGCCATCAGCAGTCTTCATATCTACAGTCACTCTTTCCCTGCTGCCCTGTCTAATGTTATCATGCTCCTAGTTGTTAATCTTCCTGTCACCAGCTGTTCTCCTCTCACTTCATTTTGTCTTTACTCAACAGATTTTGTCTAAACAAGCGCACACAGTATTTAACAAGTGAAGTCAGTAGCCGAAAGCAAATCTTAATGTCTTTAATTAGATTAATTATATAAGAAGGTATAGTGATTCAATAGGACATTTATTTGGCAATAAACATCCAGAAAAAGAAGCGCAATAAAACACAACATGGAAATTATGTTCACATCTAAACATAAAAAGAAGAGTCTGATTTGGACCTGGATCATCATTAGACATGTTTACATGGACGACAATTTCTGACATTAACACAATAGTCTAATTAAGACACCATCATGTAAGCAGCTTGTTCTGATTCTCCTAATTTAAATAAGGTCGTACTCAGAATAAGCAATAATTCAATTAAATGATTGTGTATTCGGACCTTAGTCACATTATGTCGATGTGTCTTAATCATATTATAACATCCTGTAGGAGTTTTCTCAGCATTTTGCAAACAGCCAGGGATCAAGTCCAAACAAGTAGTAATTAATAATAATAATAATAATAAACTTAATTTATATAGCTCCTTTCTTAACACAGTTAAAAGATGCATTATCAAAAATAAAAAATGTGTATGACATAATGTTGACTTGATTCATTCACACTCAATGCAAACATCATAATCCAAATAGTGTCTTGAAATATTTGGTGTCCATATAAACACAGTCACTGTGTTGTGGACTGATGCAGAAGAGATGGTGACAGATTTCTATGTCAATCTCTGCAACTACAGAAGACCCAGTGGATGACAGGAAGCCGACCTTCCTCATCCCATCTGGTTCCTCCAGCTCGAAGACGGTGTTGAGAGGACAGGTGCTGGAGATGGAGTGTATCGCAGATGGGCTGTAAGTGAAAGGATCTGCCGTTACTTCAATGATGAAAGCCTTGAGTGCCTATCTGCACCTGCTTGAGTTTCATCATTGCTCTCTCTCTCTCTTCCTCTTTGAAACCAGGCCCACCCCGGAAATCTCCTGGACCAAAGTGAGCGGCGATCTCCCGGCCCAACGCATGTCCTACCTGTACTACCAGAAGAATCTGCGCATCGTGAACGTGTCGGAATCGGACGCAGGAGATTACCGCTGCTCCGCCAGTAACCGGCTCGGCTCCGTGCACCATACCATCCACGTCTCTGTCAAAGGTGGGTCGCTTGGCGCAGTCACTCCTTCTTCCTGTCGCTTCATTCTCCCTCTATCTCTCTGCCTCATAATTGATTTATGCAGAGATGCCAACAGGCCAGTGTGTTCACTGATTAATTCTCCTGCCTTCTGTTCTATTTTCAGCGGCTCCATATTGGATCAGCAGCCCTCCCAGGAACCTTGTCCTGGCTCCGGGAGAGAACGGCGTGCTGACCTGCAGGGCCAGTGGCACGCCCAAGCCGTCCATCGCCTGGGCGATGAATGGCATCCCCATAGAGAGTGAGTGCAACCTGTTCCGCTGCTTTGAAATCAAACTTCCAGGCAATGTGGGCTTTTTCATATAAGCTGAGCGTTGTTAACTTTCATTTTCAGAGACTGGATTTTATTGTTATCTCTTTTGTGCAGGTGTGTAGTTAACTTGGGAGTGTGTAGCTTTATTTCCCTATGGGATTCACATTTGGAAGTTACAATGGCTGAGTTTGGATACTGACACTAAAGGAATTCACAAAGATGAAGACGTTTCCAGACAAGACAATTTTTTTGTCAATCACAAATCCAAACCTCTCAACTTGTTTTATCTTAAATCACAACTTCTGCTTACATTCTTTATGAATAAGACGAGTTTGCTTTTGTGACACACCGCAAACTGAATATATAGCATTTATGTGTTTAGAGCATTTACCACCATCACACCTCAATTTTTACATATTGGTGTGACAGGCATATAAGAAATTTAAAACATACGCACGTTAATAATAGAAACAACTGTATTGACCACAAAGTCTGGTGTCAGGGCTTGTGAGAGATGGAACATTTGACCAGCTCACAATAAAAGCTACCGTTCATTGAAAATCAGCCCTCAATGACGTAATAAGAGCCAAAATCAAAAGTAACTGTTTTTCACATTCATTGACTTTAGCCAGAGTTAAATATTTTCACTCTTTTACCCATGAACAGATTCTCCTAAGGATCTGAGCAGAAAGGTGGAAGACGACACCATTATCTTCACTGACATACAGATTGGATCCAGCGCCGTCTATCAGTGTAACGTCTCCAATGGCCACGGTTACCTCCTGGCCAACGCCTTTGTCAATGTCCTCTGTAAGTTCATCACACCGGATCCATTTAGTATTTCAGTTCTGTTTCACGTTGATCTCTGCAGTGTAATAACACGTCAATAACTGCTGCAGCGGAGCCACCCAGAGTGCTGACACCGGCCAACAAGGTCTACCAGGTCATCAAAAACCACCGGGCTCGGATAGACTGCACTTTCTTTGGGTCCCCCATCCCTAAAATTACATGGTGAGCGAATGAACTTTTTTTATTACAGAGGTACAGAGAAGTGTTTCTTCAAAAGCTCAAAGCAGCTTTCTCTTTCTGTGTCAGGTTCAAAGACAGCCGCTCCAGCACCCTGGACGGAGATCCTTACATCCAGCATGACAACGGCACTTTAGAGATTCACACAGCTCAGGCCAGAAACAGCGGCAAATACACCTGCGCCGCCAGAAACATGCTGGGTATCTATGAGAATCATGTCTACCTGGAGGTCAAAGGTGAGAAGATAATTAATCACTATTAGTTGAAGCCCTAACCCATGGAGGTCTAGTTCCAAACTCATGGCTTATAGAATACTGATCTGGTTTATAGTTTTGATTATTTATCATTATATTATTTATTTAACTTCAGTGATTCTCAACCTGGGGGTGGCAAGATTCATTCTGGGGGTCGCCAGATCTTTTCAAAATGAAATTACATATTTGAGACTGAAAATTGCTTTAAAATGAAATCTTCTGTGCGAGTGATTGGATCTGCTTTAGGATGGATGTTATTGAGTTTGTTGTGAGAGTCTGTCTGTGTCTGTGTTGTATCCAGAGTCAGGTCAGCGGGGGAGTTCTGGCTGATCGCCAGCTGCCTGTCGGCTCAGGGGAAAAGAAAATCACAGAACGCATCATGATCTTTACCTCATTTAAGAAAACACTCATAAACACTCAAAGTTGAGCACAGTTTAATCATAAGGTTCAGAATTATGGCTGAGGCAGAGGAACACATCTTATCATCTCCCCATCTGATCAGACCGGAGCTGCATTACTCTCTCTGGATGTGGTGCCACCAGCGACCCGACCTGTCTGCCGAGCTAAATACAATGAGTCACAGGGCAAAAACAGAAATGATCACTAAAAAAAGCAGGGATGTGCACCAGTCAGATTCTTCTGGCGAAAAGGTTGAGAACCACTAATTCAATGTATTAATTCTTGACTCTCTCTTACCCCCCTCTCCTCAGAGCCCACCCGCATCCTGAAGCAGCCCGAGTACAAGGTGGTCCAGAGGGGCAGGTCGGTGGTGTTTGAGTGTAAAGTGAAACATGACCCGTCACTCGTCCCCACCATGACCTGGCTCAAAGACGACGGAGAGCTGCCTGATGATGAGAGGTCAGAGATGTCATTCACTATTGGAAATGTCTCAGTCTCATTAACCCTGTGTTTGCCCTCCCTCTGTTTCAGTGTAATGGATCTCCTCAGTATTTGTTTACCCTTATACCTCAAATCAAAGTTTGGTGTTAAATGTCTTGACCTGGTTTGAGCACAATCACAAGTGGTCAGCGCGAAGTTCAGGTCTAAATGACAACGGCAATACCTGAGATCATATCACTCGGACCACATTTGGAGGTGGTCTGAGACGCATGTGGACACATTGTGTCCCCTGAATGTGTCCTGGGCCACATATGAAGACCACCTACTACTACTAATATTTGTACACGTATATTTGTACACGTCCATATGATCACTCCCTCCCCCCTCTCTCTTTCTCTTTCTCTCTTATTTGCTCACTTGTGCCAACACATACACACACACAAAAACTAACATTCGACACATCCGTAAACTCACAAAAACAACATAATTTGGTTTTAGCAAACACAAATGACGTACGTGTTTATTTGCATATAAAGCAGGGAAGTAAGATGTGATCACATGTGGTCACAGGAGACACATTTAGGACTTATTTTAATACCAGGTGTGGACAGAAGAACCTAATGCTGCTCGCTTGTGATCAGACCCCCTAAGGATGGATGTTAATACCAGGTCTGAACTGGGCCTTTGTCACCTCGAAAGCCCGGTGGTAAAACAAACTAAATAACTTTAAGATTATATATAATCCTGCTAATCTGTCTTTATGAACTGTTTGTTTTGCAGATTAATCGTAGACGCTGACAGCCTCACCATCACTGATGTGACAGAGAGCGACGCGGGCGTGTACACCTGCATCATGAACACAACTCTGGACCACGACTCAGCCAGCGCAGAGCTCACTGTTGTTGGTACGCGCTGCTTTTCAGAAACTTGTTAAAACAAACTCAGTAATGATCAAATGTAACCTCTGCCTCACAACACACACAACAGATCGCGTTCAGCCCTTCAAAAGTAATAGCCTGAGAGTTTACTGAAGGGGATTTGGAGCGGATTGAATCAACAGAATTAATATTTAATTATCGCCCCCTTAGCGTGCCAGATAATCTCCTTTGTTTTCATACGGCTGGCTGACCAGTAACCTCCATTTTACTCCTGCCCTCCTACCTCGCAGAGGCCACACCAACTCCAGCTGTTGTCTACGGTAAACCTTCAGCACACATGAGCACCCAGATGTGCTGCTCTGCTGTCCTGGGCTTGTATTGTTCATTGGATGTTTCTGTTCAGTGAAGCATGTTGTGGTCTGACGATGCTGTTTGTCACTGAGCATTTTTTCCTTTTCGTTTTAATTCAGCTGCTTTGATTTTAAGTGTTTTTAATTTTTGGGTGATCAGTTGCATTTTTCTTTTTTACATTTTTTGTAATTTGGAATGCATCAAACCACTGAGGCAAAAATGTTACATTTAGGCAATGGGGGGGAACCATTTTCTCTCACACTTCAATGCAAAGATCATTTGTAAAGCAAACATCTCTTCCTTGCACCACTTGGGATCTGTTGCAAAGCGCCGTTTCGTCATCACTCATTTATTCAAAGCATGCATTTTCACTTTCTCAATTCATTTCCAAAACATGAGCCCTGAGCCTCTTGAGCGAGCCCCAGACTCGATTTCACGGAGACTGATTAAGGGAGATGATCAAATTGAGTGTCAGTCGTTTCATATGCATGATGCAGTGTCTGCATGTGTATCATGGGGGAAATAAGGCTGTCAAATAGTCCATGTAAAGAAAAAGAGGGGTAACGGTACAACCTAAGCATATATCATTATTGCAGTATTATGGAAGCAAGTTAAAGATATCCTGTTTTGCTTTTGCTTCATCTCATCTTGGCATGAACCCTTCATATATTTCTACATCTATAACATGAAGTCAGTGTGACTGTCATCTCAGTACGATGAGTTACAAACGTTGCTCCCTGCGATGTATCTACCCCAGAACGACCTGACCCCCCAACTGACCTGGAGCTGACGGACCAGAAAAAGAGAAGTGTGCAGCTCACATGGACCCCCGGGGATGAACATAACAGTCCAATTCAGAGTATGTATTAACTGTGTGTGTGTGTGTGTGTGTGTGTGTGTGTGTATGTGTGTGTGTGAGAGAGGCTCTACTGATTTTCAGATATGCAGCTCAGTCATGAGGATTAATGTTCAGCATGTGAAAACAGTTTTCTTATGTGCTGTAATGGTGAATTAAAGATCCGTCGTGTTCTAATAACTATCCAGGGAGTAAGTGTCAGGATGTCTCTGCACCACAGATTTCATTTGGAATAATTTCTCACAACATTATTGATCTACAAGGCTAAACTTCTTGAGTATCCTTTAATTCATTACATATGTACTATTTAGCTGACTCTCTCCAAAGCAGATAGTGAGTGGATTAGGGTGAAAGTAAAGTTTCAACTGTACAGTTAGCTTCTATATATTTTCATGTTTATATTTTTAAGTGTATATATATTCATTTCATGTTTGTATTATAAATTTATACATATTTGAGTCTATATTGTCAAATATAATAAGCTTATTTTGTATCCATCTATCTATCTATCAAAAGAAACTTGAGTGAGAATCACAATTGATCAATACAATACAATTTACTCAACTCACAGAAAAATACAAAAATAAAATCTGCTTTTTGGAGAAAAAGTAACCAAAACCAACCTCTGCAGTCTTGAATGTAGATATATAATATATAACATTTTTATTCAGAGGTAACAATGGATTTCAATGTTTAAAAAAAGAACCAAAATATTACTGGAAGAGTCTGGTGCAGAACATGTAACTCCTTCACTGTCTATTAGTATTGTCGTCTTGTTGCGAACACATCGCTTCACCATGTCAGAACACAGCTGGAGGCAGCATATTGAGACATCTTGAGAAAAACAAACCTTGAAGGCATTCATTCCGGTTTGTCCAGTATCCTGTCAGAGCAGATATGAAGCGTTCAGTTGTTCACTGTTCTTGTCTTTCTTTATTTCACACAGAATTTCTCATCCAGTATGAAGACTCGCTGCACCACCGAGGTCACTGGCACAACCTCACCGAGGTCCCTGGAACCAGGACGACTGCTCACCTCAGATTGTCTCCCTACATCCACTACACCTTCAGGGTTTTGGCTCTCAATGCCATGGGCTTCAGTCGGCCCAGCTTCCCCTCCAGGATGTTTAAGACAGAACCTGCAGGTAATTGATAATTAATTTAAGATAGTATATGAATAAGCTTTTATTAAATGCCTTATTTCAGAAGTATATTTTCTATTGGATAATGTTTGATGTCGTCATTCGGTTTATTTTTCAGCTCCAGACGAGAACCCTAAAGATGTTGAGGGATTTGGAACAGAGCATGACAATCTTGTAATCTCATGGAAGGTAATAAAGATGTATTAGGCTCTCTTTTTTAATCCTGATGCATTTACCGTTGTCCAGGGACCACCCTGAAACATATGAGCTCTCCTTTTTGTCTTCATTTTTCAAGCCACCAACATCAAACATCAATATCTATATAATAAACACAGAAAACTCTGTGTGTCAATAAAATACGATACAAATTATTAAATATGGAATAAATAGGTGACCAGTGCTCTGTAGCAGCGACAACTGGGACTCATCAACATATGTGAAGTTTTCAATCACGAGAATAGCGCATTCTGCGTACTAACTTGAGCCTCAAGAGCTCTGGATAAACAGGTGAACAGCTGTTTGTTGTGCAGCAGTGCTGCTGCTTCAGGGTTCTGTGACTCCGTCTGACGGCTGGTCTTTTCTTGCATTGACTCAATTACTGCAGGTCACTTTACAGTTTCACAGAGAAATCTGCAAAAGTTTTCTGCAAAAGTATTCTCTTGAAAATAATAAAACTTTCTCTGCTGCAGCCGCTGACAGGGCTCCAGTCTAATGGCCCAGGGCTTCGTTATCGAGTAATGTGGAGGCAGAAGGCAGTGGACAGTGATTGGACCACAGTGACTGTGTCCAACAACTCTAGGTTCGTCGTGTCTGGAACGCCCACGTTCGTACCGTACGAGCTAAAAGTTCAGGCTGTGAACGACCACGGAGTTGGACCTGAGCCTGCTATCGCCCGCGGCTACTCAGGAGAGGACTGTGAGTTCGATTGACTCTTTAGACTCATAAAAAAGACATTACTGTGTGTGGGTCTGAGCCTGGGGTGATACATTTGACTGTGTTACCAATGGCATTTACTCAGTGTGTGTTTGCTGTTGTATTTAGTTGTTGTCGTGTTCCTTATCTGTTGCACAGTGCCGGTAGCAGCTCCAGAAAACGTTCAGGCGGTGGTGCTGAACAGCACTCTGGCAGAGGTGCACTGGGATCCTGTGCCTCATAAATTAATACGTGGGCATCTCAAAGGATACAAGGTGCAGTATAATAAACACTACATGCAGCGTGACATGAACACCAATCCCACAATCCCTCAGTGCTGACTGTACACAAACCATGTCTTGTAGGTGTACTACTGGAAAGAGCGCAGTCTCCACAAACACAACCCCTACCACATGGAGAAGCTGATCCTGACGTTCAGTGGGAACCACAGCCACGGCATGGTGCCTGGTCTGCACCCCTTCAGCCTGTACTCCTTCAATGTCAGAGTGTATAACGGCAAAGGAGAGGGTCCTGTGAGCCCCACCCAGCAATTTGAAACACCAGAGGGAGGTGAGAGACGGGAACGGACACCCTTTATTTCTCTTTATAGTTTTTATTTTTATTTTTAACTTTTAATCGATGCAATCTTTCGCGTTTGGTGTGCTAGTCTTAATGCTTCAGGACACATTTTCAGTGATGGTACTGGAATCATTGAGTGTTTCGGTCTCTCAGCTTCATACACCCTCCTCCATAAGACCCAGCTGAGGCAGATCAGACCCCAGCATGTGTGTCCAGGTGGCTAGCTAGCTGCTTTGTACCCCATGGTTCTCCTCCTTTGAGCCACAGCCATCTCGAGGCTCTTTGCTGGTGTCTCTTCTTCTCCTCACTCCTTCAATGCTCAAAGTTCTAAAGGCTTGCGACAGGAATCGAGCAGCAGAACCCCTGCATTCAACCTCTACTGGGAGACACCTTGCTCTCCATCTGGCTTATTGACACCCGCTGACCAGTCCCCTGTACTTTTATAACATCACAGTTACCACAGAGTCAGTTCCCGGGTGTCTGTGGATTCTGCAGGGAAAAGCTGATGGAGTCAGCCCCTTTTGAAAACACCAAAGTCGAGATTTAATATGAATCATGCAGAGTTTTTCCACTATTTTACCTGAACCACATGAAACCCACAGCAGAGTAGAGGTGTTAAAGCCAAAATCAATGATCCACAAGCAAACACAGATACCTACTGAAATTAAAACACAACACTTCATTATAATTATGGAGAACTGCCAATTGGAATAAGTATCTGGCCTAAATGTCACGTTGTGAATTAATCTATATGACGATTTTCTATCTATAGCATAAACACTGAAGCGATGGGGAACATTATATAGTCAGATGACTTAAAGCATTAACATTCGTAAACCGTCAAACCCTATTTCACATGCTGTGTATTTTCAATCATTCATTTAAAATATTATTTCAACCCTATTTATCTTTACTGTGAGGAGGTTTAATGATGTATGTTTTTTTCCCCCACAGTACCTGGAGCTCCCACTTCCCTGATAGTCACCAACTCAAACCTGGACACTCTAACCCTTGAATGGAGTCCTCCTCATGATCGTAACGGACGCATCACTGGCTACACTCTCAAATATCAGCCAGGTGAGGTTTTAAAATGACTAAATAAATCACAGCACTGGGCTTCAGAGAGTTTTTATAACTTAACCCAGTGTTTAGTGTCACCTTCCGTCATGTAGTTTGTAGTTTTCTCCTTCTTTTTCATGTCTTGTACGTTCATCCTGTTCAAACTTAGATTATGAGACTGAAATGAATGAGAAGAATCTTAGAGCATCTCAAACAAGTTATTTTGTCTAAATTATGACACAAATTAACAAATCAACTTTTGTCACCTCCCGCCTTCTTCTCCTGAACCCTGCACCTCTGTGCTTCAAACGCTGTCATTTCGACCTTTCTCATTGTTGACACTCTGACCCCACCTACAACCCGCTCCTCCTCATATTTCTATTCAATTTACCTTTACTACCTTCCAACCTCCACCCCTTCCCATCCCATTACTCTTGTCATCCACCCTCCACCCCTGTAGTCAATAACTCCAATGAGCTGGGCCCAGTGGAGGAGCTGGCCCTGCTCGCCAATGAGACCTCAGTCACTTTGCCCAACCTCAAGTACAGCACACGCTACAAGTTTTATTTGAATGCCAAAACAGTCAGGGGAGCGGGCCCAGCCATTTCTCAAGAGGCTATCACCATCATGGATGAAGGTAAGTCGACTAATGTACAAAGACATTTCAGTCAATTTAGTTGATGGTATTTGTTTCTGTAGCTGTAAATCTAGATGAATTATAAGATGAATATATAAATCATTTTTTGTTAACAATATCCAAACTTTGCATGAATCTAGATTATATATTTAATTTATAGCTTAATTAAAGCACATCACACAACTCTTCAGTACACCATGCTTTATGCAGTATTTTCAACTATCTCACCTTTAACAGGGCGAGTGATGAAAGATGGCAATTGGTGATTTCTAGTTTTTTTATAAAAGTTGGTTTTAATATGGGGTGCAGTGGTTAGAACTGTACCAGCTACACCAGCTTCCTCTCTCAGTTCAACAACATGCAGATAAGTTAACGTAGTTGGAGACTCTAAATTGACCATAGGTGTGAAAATGAGTGTGAATGCTTGTTTGTCTGTATGTCAGTCTTGTGATACGCTGGGGAGCAGTTCAGGGTGAACCCCTCCTCTTGCCCAATGTCAGCTGGGACTGGCTCCATCCCCGACCACGACAATTAAGGGATTAGGGGTATAGATGATGGATGGATTTTTTGCATGTTTTTTTAATAGTTCTCAAGGTAAACCTCGATATTCATTAGGAGTAATTATTGTCTCTGTAAAAGGTCATTTTAAAAAGATGTTTGCTAAAAAATATCTCCCTCCAAAGAAAGCCAAAACATGACCTAAATAAATCATGGTGTTATGGAGAAGAGTTGGGCCTTGTGTTTTAATTCTGGATGGACTTGGATGGAAGCTCACATGTGGTTCCACCTCTCTCCGTGAGAAAATAAACATTCCTCCAAACACTGAAATGCTGTTTATTGTAAAGCATGATTTTTTGATTTTTCTTTTGGGGAAAGCAGCATCAGCAAAAAAAAAAAAAAACACGATGAGAACAATTATTTCTTTTATCTTTCTAAAATTATTTCTTATAGTTTTGCTGGGCAGAAACATCAAGCCAAATAAAGGGGAAATGCTAATGAACATCTTTCACTATATTTATAGACTAAATGATTAACTGAATAATAAAATATAATCTTAATGTAATTAATGATGAATATAATAATTATTTATAACACTAACGTTGAGTCAGATTGTTCTTATGTATGAAACCCCCTGGTGACATTTGGAAAAATAAAAAAATTGTGGCCAATTTCTATTTTCTTATGTGTAAAACTATGTGTTTTCTTTCCAAATGTCACCAGAGCGGCTCAGTACTAATGTGACTTTTATATGTGAAATATTCTGCAGTATAATGCACATTTTGCCATAGCATTTAATTTTATTACTAGTACTTTATATGGCATGTTTTATACATATAAATGTCCATCAACCTTGTCTGTGTTAAGTGGAACATGTTTACGATCCAGTTTCATTGCTGTAAAAGTTGACCCTTGTCGTTATGAAACCTCAGATCCATCATTCTATTCAATTCACTCACACCGCACAGCATGACTTCCTGAGTGTGTCACTATAACACACAGTGACACAGATGATGATTGCATGAGAGGGTGGGGTGGGGAGGGGGGTCATCCAATAATGAATCCTGTTGTTTTTTTTCTGTGTCCTGTTTCTCTTTACAAGCTCTAATGTCACTGCTTGACGTAGATGTGGGCGAAGGTACCGGTGGTATCTAGCCTGATGCCATGTTTTACAGATACAGCTATAGCTTCAAAACCCCCGCTGCAGGCATGCACTCTGCACGATTTGAGCAATTTCCCTCTTTCCCTCTTTCAAATTCTGCTGCCCACCAAAATGTACCACTGAGTTCAAAGCTGGGGAAAGTTCAAAGCCTCAGAGATAAAGATGCTGTGCAACGTGGGCCTTTTTAATGTTGTGTGATAAAACTACACAAGTCTTTTCAAAGTGCTTGGCTGCATCTTGCCTTTGGCGACTTTGACCCCTTCTCACTTCTTCCATGGTGGCTGCTAGTGATGCTTCCCGCTGCATGGCGAGGCTTTATTGGCGTGCCAAGTGAACTGTGTTTGTGTGTATTGTGTCTTTGCATGTGGAAAGTGTTTGTGTGTCTTGTGTTTGTTGCGGTCTTCACCCCTCTTCCATGTTGTTTACAGAAGGCACCCAAACCTCTCATCCCATTGCTCAGCTTCCTCCACGCCGTCCCCCCCACAAGGGTACAGATACTGCTGTGATCGTAGTGCATTACATGTCTGATATGTTACAGGATCAGCTTTGTGTATGCTTTTGCTTGTTGGTTTTGTTGTGTATGGCTGTAATGGTATAGATTCAGTTATTCTAATAGCATTTAATGGGACTATAATTTAATCAAAGCATATTATTGTCGGTTACTGGATTGTCCTTTGATCAGCAGATCAATCTTGATGCTTGTCTTTTCTCTTGTGTGCTCAGCACCGCCAGTGAGTTCTTTCGGGAACGTTAGTTCCTCGGTTGGAGAGGATGGGGCCCTCATCAGTTGGGAGTACTGGGGCCCGGAGAAAAACGTTTATGTAGAGTACACTGTAGAAAACAGTAAGGAAAGCTTCACATCTTTATTTGTTCTACACACAAAGAGACCCCTACTTCATTATTGGCTCATGCAGGTGAATTGAAATATTGGCAGTCATTGCTGTTGGCTTCTGCCAACGTGGACCCAGATGTGGTAAACAAGGCTGTCTGATTGGATTTTTAATTACTCCATGCTGTGGAGTCACATGCATTTCCTGTGACAGTCTCTGTGGGACTTATGTAGACAAACATCATAAAAAAGCAGCACAAACATTTGTGCTGTGCCAGTTGATTTTGACTGAAGTGGTCTCCATTGTTTTTATCCACCTGCAGTGAGGATGAAAAGCAGTATGTTGCTGTAGTGTGGCTCGCTCACACCTACTCTTTAATAAATTCATTTAGGGGATGTCATGATCATAGACCCCAGTAATTTAGAAAATGTCCTTACCAAAAACATATTCCTGTGATTATCAGTCGAATGCATTTCATTTTTAACTCCTCACCCCATTTATGTCTGCAGAGGCCCTAAAAGCTTAGTGCACTGCTACTGAGAAAGAAAACACATGGAAATAGATAAATGTCATTAGTCCTGCAGGTATATGGTCACAAACCAAAGTAATGTTAACATTTAGATTTTTGTCCTGAGGTGGACTTGGTTGGTGTCCACCTCAAGTTGGCAAATACAATGCTGATGCATTGCAGGTATAATGGTTACCATGTTCACCATTATAGTTTAGCATGTTAGCACAATAACTATTGTGAATACACACCAAATGCAAAGTACAAGCCATTAAGTATTTGGTCATAAACCAAAATATTCGGGTTAATCGTTCATAAACCAACATTTTTAACAATTTTAGATTTTGACCCGATGGTGGCACTATATGAATAATCAATAAAGATATTAATTCATCCTGAGGTGAACATGAACCTGTTCAGCAAAGTTTCTTGACAACCCATCATGTAGGGATTTAGATATTTCAGCTAAAAACATCTCAGTATGAAAGTGGTGGACTGACATCCCTGTAGAGCCACGCTGTGTGGCAGGGTTGAAAACATTGCAAACTGAGAAAACAACCAGTCTCTCAGAACATTTAACAGTCGTGTGTGCACGTGCATGCATGGTAAAATTGTTTTCCTCATTTGCCTGTCTATTTGCATTTGTTTTTCTCAGTCGCAGTTCATTGAGCACTCAGGGCCTCTGTAATAGTCCATTCACAGACTAAATGAACTATTTATTAGTTTAAATCTAATACACACAGCATTACCTGTAGCGTAACCACCAGTAGATGTTTATTCTCCCCGACCAGCCAAATCTCAAAATGTCATGACCTCCATAGCCCATTTGTAGTTGTGCTTCCTCAGTCGTACCTCTATTCATGAACGTCCCTCCCGCAGGTGAAGGTGAAGAGGAATGGCAGAAAGAGCAGGTGAACGGCTCTCAGAACGTTGTGCTGAAGGGCTTAAAGGGGGGCCTCTCCTATAGGGTGCGCTTGGTGGCCAAAGGTCACAACGACCAGCCGCCCCACCACTCTGAAGAGCTGTTGGTCACGGTACCAGGTGAGGCAGTTCCTGGGCGGTTGCCTCCACCTCGGCCTGGCCTGACCTTGCACTGTGTCGTGTGTAGAATGTGTAGTAGATTGTGCCGTTGAGTTGTAATTGTAACCCAGTCGAGCATGGGTTTAGCGTGTTGTGGTGACTGTATGCTGGGCATGTCTTGTAGTAATATAGAGACACCACATAGCAGCGTGCATGATGGTTCAGTCTCAGTCAAGTAGACTCGGATATTAGAGGAAGTGGATGTTATTCTAATATAGACGTTTACTATAGGCTATGTTTYTTAATGTGTGTTGTATGTGTTATAATATTCAACCTAATATCTCTCAGTCAATCGTCATATGTGTGTTTGTGTGTGTATTCGTGATTGTGTGTGTATGTTTGCACTTGTGGGAAAAAGACTTACTTACTACATTGAGTATTAATGTGGTTTCAATATATTCACGTCACCATTAGTTTAATCTAACTCGTCTAACATGACAGTTGAAATATCTGTCTGTAGGTACTACTTGATAGAAAATGCTAAAACATATTTTAACAACACGTATTACGCTTTACATGTTTGTTGTTAACACACCAGTGTGAGTCATGGTTCCCATCTCTCCCTCTCAATGGAGAAAGAAACAGTCCACCCATAATTCCTAAGTGTTCCTCTCCCTCTCTGGCCAGCTGTGGCGAGCAGACAGGTGGACATCGCCACTCAGGGATGGTTCATTGGCCTCATGTGTGCCATCGCTCTGCTCATCCTGATCCTCCTCATTATCTGCTTCATCCAGAGGAATAAAGGAGGGAAATACCCCGGTGAGTTGTCGCTCAAACACAAACCATCGACACAAACACTCGTTTGTCAACCCACACTTTAATTCTGTATTTGCCAACATTCAATTACTGGGACACGATCAGATTTTAAGGAAGTTTTGGATCTGAAAGCATATTGATCGGAGATAGATCTAAAACTGCTTTCTGCTACAGTATATTTCTATTTCCTCATTTTAGCCACATGTATACTACAATAACATGTAACATAACATATTCTTCTCTTTCTTACATGTGCAACTTTTTATTTTTTATTTTTACTGGTTCAACATACTGACTTATGTC